CCCCTGCCAGTGTCCTCGCTGTCGTGGCGGCAGGACGAGTCTGGGGGAGCGGAGCCGCACCGTGCCGGTGCCACGCCGCAGAGCGGGCATCCTGGAGCGACAGCTCTGCTCCCCATCAGTGCTCCCCTGGGCGGGGAGGAAGGGAGCGTGGCCCCCGGCCCGCCAGCACACAGCCACCAGCCTCGCAGCCGGGAGCCGGGTACTTACCAAGTGGAAGTACTTGTCGGTGTCCAAATCCTTCACTGCGAAGCACAAGAGAGAGACACAGCAGCTCAGTCAGGGGCCCAAACCGCGACCCGCCCCCGCAGACAGCCTCCGCGTCAGGAGGCGTTTCGCTTTCCCCAAGAACCCCGATGCCAAGCTGGTGTCCCCACCCCAAGGGACCTCAACATTTATGTGTTGCTGGTGTTTTACCGCCTTCCGGGGCGCGTGGCGAGTACCTCAGGAAGTACTTTAAGGAGGACTTGAGGTCTCCCAAGGTCTAAGAGGGTACAAGAGCAGGATCAGCACAGGGGCACTCCTGCATTGTGACGCTCCACAACGCCCCGCGATGCCCCGCAGCCCTGCGCGCCCTGGGCCATCTCCTAGCCTCGTCACCAAGGCAGCCACAGCCCCGAGCAGCCCCACTGCGGAGACGGGCTCGGTGCGGGCAGCCTGGAGATGGGGTTTGAAACTCCTCGTTCAATGCGAATTTTTGTCTCCCTTGGTCTGTTTAGAGTCTCTGCGCAGCCTGAAACCTTGAAATACACTGGCAAGAAATAGAACATGTGTAACTGGGAGGGAAAGGGCTTTTCCAACCAAGTGGTTTTAGAGCTGCCTTTTTTTTTTCCACTTTGTTAGCACAGATTGAACGCAAACCCCTAACGAGGATGTGAGATGAAAGGTGCAAACACCTCTAGCTTAAGGGCTGGGAAAGCACTCGGCACCCCAGCAAATTGAGTGAGCAGGATACTGAGTAACACGTTTTTAAAGCAAAATCACAAGCATGACACTTGCGTCTCCCACAGTGTGTATGTGTGTCAGCAATCTATACTTCCCAGACCTTCTTCATTTCTCCTACAGAAGGAAAAGCAGGCACAAAACCCCACTTTTTTTTGCAAGTGACATAGACAAGCCTTAAAATTAGAAGGGGTGTGCAAGCCACCCGCTCTCTAGGATCAGTCCCAGACTCGAGGATCTGTGACCTCTCCAGTGGCCACTGCAGCTCTGACCCGCTTCCGTTCTCCGAGTCCCGCGCGGGCG